TGTGTGTGTGTGTGTGTGTGTGTGTGTGTGTGTGTGTGTGTGTGTGTGTGTGTGTGTGTGTGTGTGCTACTATTGAAATGCTCTAACAGTATAGCATCCACTTTAGAGGGACGAGAGCAGGCACACAAAAGGGATTGTTGGTTTTAGAGACTATTTTCAGTTATCCTACTTGGGCTGGAGTGGAGCTACTCCACAAAAAAACACTCCAATTAGAGAGAGACGGCCAGGGAGAAGAGGGCGAGAGGAGGAGGAGGAGGAGGAGGAGGAGGAGAGAAAGACTGAGAGAGAGGAGACGTGCAGCCTGAATGGGAGCGAGATGGTGAACTCGCTCTGTCTCTCTGACCTCCTCTCTCTGTCTCTCCCTTTTCTCTGTCTGTCTGTTTGTCTGTTCTTCTGTTCCTTTCTCACCTTGCTCCTGACCCTCTCTTGGTCGGGGCTGTTAAAATGGGGTGTTCATGTGGTGAGGGCTCTTATGGGGCTCTTACCGAGCGATTGTTTCTGCCAGTGACACGCACAAAGACACACTCACACGCACACACACGAAGAGCATCGGACTCAAAACTGAAAGCAGACATTTTTCGCTTACTGTATTCATCTCGCTGGAAAATATTGTGTTTTTTATGAAGTAACAAATATGTGTTAGATTTCTTTTGGGTGCATATGTTCAGAATGTAAAACTAAAAGACATGTTTGTTCATTTCTGAGTATATGAGTTGTTGTTTTTTCTACTGATCATATGAAACAGACCTAATAGTGTATTTCCACGTATTGTCTTTAGTTGTAAAAAGAATCCCTGAACCCTGGAGTGAGTGATGAGCCCTACAACAAAGTAACCAAAGCGTTTCTGCTCGGAGGGAAACACGTGAACCAGAGAGCCATTAGCCTTGCACTTTGACTGCTCCTGTCGCTCCCTGCAATAACCCGAATCAACCAGCTCCGCTCTGTATTTGCTAATGGGACTGTGGATGTTTCAAATGGAGAAAAACTGTATCCCGCGCACACGAACACACGCGCGCACACTCAGTTCCTTCTCTCTTTACTAGATAATACAGAGTGAAAAACTAGGCCTGTCCACTGTAGACCTAATTAAAAGTAAGAATTAATGGAGAATAGAGGACTCAGGCAGAGCAAGCAGAGAAAGCACAGAAGGAGGGAGGAGAGAGATTTGTTGGTTCAAATGTGCACTTTTTCTCTATTATTCAAATGAGAAGCCTGCATCTTTGCAAAAAAAAAAAAAAAAACAGACAAATTTAGCATCCTGCACAAAGTAGACTTCAGCTCTCTCTTTCTTCTTAGGATTAGTATGCAGGATTGTTCTTGAAGCAAAATTACACCTTGGTTTTGCCTTTGGCTAGATTAATGACAGAAATTGTCCAGTGGCTGTTTGCAAAAATTACGCAAGTGTTTTATCTAACAGTAGTAAATAGCTCTTATGCTAGAGCATGAAATCAGCAGTGAAAAAAAAATAAATTAAACAACAGCAAATGCGTTTCTGTAACTGCTGTCTGGACTTCAGGTCGTTGCCTTACCTGTCACATCTGCTGCCATGAGTCCCTCGGCTCTGATGACCTTCACCTGCACCACGCCGACATCTTTCAAGTTGTGGAATGACCTCCAGAGACTCTGCAACATTACGGGAGCAGAGGTGAAAAGTCAAAGAGGACAGCAAATTAGCATTGAAGTGAAAGCCAGGTCAATAACCTGACATTTCATTAAAAGAGTAAAAGGGTAGAAAATGTCCTTTACCGCTCTTTATTTGAAAATGTAGAGCTGGCATTTATAGCCGAGTCAGACAAAAGGACAAATGGTGGGATTTAATTCGACTAAATAGCTGTGTGCCTGTTTGAAATACACCCCCCACCCCACAATCCTTGCACTTTTTAAATAAGAGTGAATTTTGAGATGAGGGAGAGGAAGATGATTCAAAAGCGACATAACAGACATAAGCACTTCGCATAAAGTTTATTTCAAGGATGCATAAACTCCATAAGATAAGGTAAACTTTTCAATGAACCCCACTTCAGAAGATTTGAACTGTCCCTTTAATGTGTCCTGTGGTTGCCTCAGATAGGGAGGGACTCTGAGAAAATTAGGTTGATATGATAATAGAGATATCATAGTGAGCTGACAAAATTGGTCAAGCACGACTGGCAGTGATATCATTGTTAAGAGGCAAGAACACACACACACACACGCACACACTGACCTCCAAAAAGTGTCTAAAAAATGAGAGGAAACAGTGTATGCATGAGGTTTTAATAACCAGTGGAAGGATGGATGACTGCAAAAGCTAGCTGGTAAATTTCGTAAATAAAGGCAAACCTTTAGAGATCGCTGGTCGGCCTGTGGGGCATACTGATACACAGGCAGACACACAAACAGCCCAGAACTTGTGATTCACGCAAACGCTCAGGTTTAAACACAAGCAATAAAAAAATACACCCTACACCGAGGCCAAATTGAGTAGCATGTCTGAGTGTCTTAAAAGCAAAGTGGAAATGCTCTTCACTTCAATTTATTTCTCTCTCTCTCTCTCTGGCAATAACCCCTTCCATCCCCACAGGAGTAATTATAATTTAAATTTCAGAGTCAGGGCCAGGCTACAGACTTAATTCATTATTACCAACTCTGTCAGACTCTGCCTGTTTCCAGCGATATCATTGTCCAAAAGCTCTCTAAAGAAGATGAGAAGGGGAAGAGTGTGTGAAAGAGAGGGGAAAAAAGAGGGGGAAAGAGACATACAGAGAAAGAGAGACGGGGTGGGGGGGGGAACTCTCGAGTTTGCGGTACGATTTTTCAGAAGATACAGGTCCTTGTGATTATTGAGAAGAGAGGCACCAAGGAGAGTCGAGAGGAGAGCGTGAGGGAGGCAACGGAGGAGGAGACGAGGGCAGATTATTGGCTGACCAGCTGTGTGATTAGGTTCAAACAACAGTTAATAATGCAGCTGTGTGGTCAGGGATGGACACTTCAGCTTATTTCTTCCTCTCCTAGTGACTCAAATGTGTCTGCAGTAAAGACAATTTTAACTTTAGTGTTTTGTTGCTTAGATTCTTTTTGTTTACATTTTTAATCAAACGCCTTGAAGGAATGCAGCTCTCTGCCTTTCATGCCAGAGTTTCATACTAAGATGAACTTGTATGGAGGAAGGACAGAATTCTAGTCATGTGATATTGCAAGGTGGTACTCTCAAACTATGTTTTGTGAATGATTCAAGTAGTTGTACATGCAAGTTCAATATCTTGAAAACTGAGTTCTAGCCATTTTGTATGTTTGCTAATGTGAGTTATCTTAAACGTATCAGGCTCATAAAAACGTATTACCTTTAAAGAGCCAATTAAATTTTGTTGAGAGAGAGTTGTTATAATCTTAAGGGGATAGAGATGTTTGTGAAACCTAAATTTCGAACCAGTTTGAAGGAGTGCTGTACTTTAATTCTGGGGATAAAGCTATTATTAATGGAATCTACTGTACACCTATGTGGAATAATCTGGAAAGTGATGTTTAAAATGCCAGATCAATGTGTGTTTAAGAGAATGATAAAAGTTGGTGTGTTGATGAAATATTAAATAGTATAATGTGTATTCATTCAAACTGTTGATCGAGAAGGATTTGTTGTTTTTGTTTTATTACTTGAAGATCACTATTGTTTGAGTTTATTGTTTTTTTTAAAGGGGCTGATATTCTAAGTTTTTTTTCTAATTTGGATGGAAATGTTATAAATAAATAAATAAATAAAAGTAAATTGGATGGACTACAAAATAAATTAGGCTATGTTCACAGTGCAGGAAAATGTGACTCAAATCTGACTTTTTCACTCCCTATGTGACCCATACTGGATCATTTTCAAACAGTCTGAACATGACAAATCAGATTTTTTTTTCAAATTTGACTCAGGCCTTCGGATACATATCTGATGTTTCTCAAAGTGACTGCAGTCTGAACGCTTACGTCCCATTTCATCCAACTTTTACATTTAAGAGGTGGGCGGATCAATCCAAGTATTTAGAATATTGATACCAAATCTTGTAACTCCTAAAGCCATCAGCTACAGAACAGAAGTCCAGTTGCTTTGTCTTTGTTCTTTTCATTTTTCATGTCAATAGAGACGTATGATGATGATGTTGGTCTCAGTCATGAAGTTACTGAAACAATACTTTAGCTTTCCAAAAATAAAACAATGCACTGGAGCAGACGGCAAAATGCTGGTTCAAATGTAAACAATGAACTAAAGAATACTGTCACATGATTAATTAATTGGCTCTGATCGCACAACTTCAGAATCGACTTGCTAACACGTAGCATCCCTAGGCTACTTCTGGAAACAGCGAGCTGAATGTGACGTCACATCATTTTCTGAGCATGCTGGTCGCATCCGTGCCATGAAGGGTTCACACTGGAGTCTGGAGGTCACATATAAAATTTAATGAACAATTAAGCATTAAGACCTGCAGTGTGAACGTAGCCTTAGTTATTTGCTCGGGCTGCTACCATCTTACATCTGTGATCTAATCACATGAAAAAGCGTTGATTCACACGCCTTGTGTTCAAATGATTATTTCTTGCTCTCTGTCCCATTTCTCCGTACAGAATTTGGGAAAAGGGCCTTTGTTTACTCTGCTCCATCCACATGGAACATGTTGCAAAAATTCTGGAAGATAACTGAACTGATCCCACCGAACACCTTTAAGTCCAGATTGAGGGCATTAGAGATGACTTCATTGAATTGCGAATGTTTTTAATAGTGATTGTTTGTATTGTGTTTAAATTGTGTAACTCTGTGTAAATGTATCCTTTTTGCTGCCTATTGGCCAGGACTCCCTTGAAAAAGAGGTTTTTAATCCCAATGGGACTTTCCTGGTTAAATAAAGGAAATAAAATAATAAATAGATCTACAATGATTAGTTTCTGCATCTTTCATTCGAATTTGTCCAGTTGTTCACAAAACACATTGATAGCAGACAGACACACGTGCAAACTTGGTGCAAAAACATCATCACCAGCTTTCAGCTTTTAGAATCAAGACATAAGACAATGGATTGAAGAAAAAATACATTTTGCAGAAAAAGTCAGGTATCACACCAACACCACTGTTGTAAATTCTGCGACGATAACACAATTTCAGTCTTCCTATTAAAACACAAACACAAAAGGTTGTGTGTTTTTTTTCTCTCCAACCATTCCTTAGTTCTTCACCCTTCCTCCCTCCTCCGCTCCCTGAGGGGACATGGGCCTCAATCCATGATTGCTAGAAAGAACACACCCATCCTCCATAAATTTTAAATCCTCATCAGAAACACAGGACAGCAACTGGACACACAGGCGTACAGACGGATGAAAAGACACCAAGATCAACACCCCACCACCAGCAGCACCACCCCCACCCCCCACCCCACATCTGCACCCAGGTGCGCCAGTGGGTACGAGAAGGAAATGAAAGGGAGGGATGAACAGATGAGAGAGGGAACACAAGAAAAATGGAAGGATGGAGCTGGCTTTCATAAAACAAAACCCGCTGCCCTGCCTGTGAGTGACAGCTTGTCACCGTGACATCTTCTTTCTGACTCTGTCACACTGCGCAGACATATAAACACACAAATGAATCAGAGCTGGCACAGGCTTATGACTCACTGTCATCTTTGCAGCATGTCACATTTCATCGCTGCAGAAGTCTAGAAACACACACACACACACAAACACACACAGAGGATCTGCCCTGCAGCCCTTAAATTCAGGGGACATTTGATCAAATGACTGCGAATGCTCAAACGTAACACTTTTGTAAGCACTTCTCCCTCGCATTACCCCCTTAGTCGGGATCGCTGTCTCCCGAAACGTGTTGGAGAAAACCTGTGCTGTGCTCATCCCTCACTTCAGCGCGGCTCAGCTCACTTCCTGCCCGGGTTGTGTCCTTTACAGCAGTGGACCAAAGTGGGTAGGAGAGGTGTGTTATGTCTGCGCATGAAGGTGGGTGGAGAAGTGGCACCACTTCAGTGGAGGTCACCATGTCCTCCTTTGCTAATCCACCCATCTTTGTGGCCACCTCAGACCCATTAAGAGCCATTAGTGTGTGTGCTCCTTTGCCATCATAATGCATAAATCTCTTTCTCTCCTTTTTTTCCCTCCCTTTCTCTGTCCTTCTTTTAGTTCTGGGGAGCACTAATTAAAGATGAAAGAAAGGTTAGCAGGCACTTGTCTAAAAAAGTGAGTGTATGACACCATGTCATATACTGTACATCCATGCTGAGAGATGAACTTAAATGGAGTAGGCGTGCATGCCGACCACACACACACAAACACTGTGTTTGTACGCAGAAAAGTCATCATTGAGCTGAAGAGCCAGAATGAGATGGATATTAATGAGCTCGGTGCAGCATGCGATCCCAGCACTCAGGTGTCCGTCATCAGTTCTCATCAATGGCCTCAGATTGAAATGGGGGAAAAAATAACAGCTGCCAAATTCGGCGCAGTGACCTCATCACGATCACACGAGGTTTGTCTAGTTAGGACGTCTGGGTGTGAGAGAGTGATGCGGACATTTTCCTAGCACAAAAAAAAAACATAACACCCGCCACCTTCATTTCCTTCGATTCAGGTCTCACGCAATCTGTTATCGCTCAAAGTGCGAGTTAGGAATAACTCAGCTAATATCACAACAATTTTAAGCTCAATATTTGTCAGACTAAGTTATAGATGTTTTGCCTGTACGTCTATGTGCAACGTTTGATTAGCTTTGATGGTCATATTTACTGTAAATGAAGTGACAGGCTTAAAACTGAGTGAAGAATGAACTAAACTTTTAGTGAATTATTCAAAGCAACATAAAACTTTAGATATTTTGTTTAAATTTAAGCACAAATAATCATATATTTTTCATAGTAAAACATAGTAAACTAGATAATAGTTATTGTTTAGTTGAATTGAAAAATAAAACAAAAAACCATAAAAATCACCTAATTGTCAAACAACAATTGATAAAAACACTTATTTGCATACACAAATAAAGAAACATTGGAACAATATCTTTTTGTGTGATTTTCTTTTTCTGAACTATAATGTAAGAAAATAGCTTGTCATTCATTTAAGTATGTAACTTTGATTTATAAAATGATAACATTTAGTTAAGAGAAAATATAAATCAAACATATAAAGAACATTATTATTTTGTTTATTATATTGATTAAAGAAAATAAAATGAAATAAAATGTCTCTTTACTGTTTAAGAAAACATGTTATGACTTTAACACGAACAGAGTTCTGTCTCTTTAAAAGGGGCCTTCTGAGGTCAGGGACAAAGACAGGTGGAACGTTTATTCCACCCCTAGGTGACCACTACACCTCCAAAAGGTAAATAGTTGTAGAAGTGTAAGCAATGATTACGTTTTCAGAGTTTTAATTCAAATCTGTCCAGTGGCTCATGAGATGGTTTGCTAACAGGCTGTTGTTGCCAAAGTTTGAAACAAAGATCTCATACTGATGCTCAGCTCTATTGTCATTCAAAAGCCATAACATGGTAAGAACAAACAATAGTTACCCAGGACTTTGCAGACTTGCTCAGCACTTACTCTGAGCACTACAATGCATTCAAAGTATGTGTTGGGCATGACTCCCATCTACTACCTAATTAAAAATTCATCTCAACGTCTGTAAAAATGAATGAGCTGTAGCCAATTCTGTGTTTGCTGAGATCAGTTACCTGTGGCAACCAACTTGGATCAGGTTGACTCCAAAAGTTAACTAGTTGTAGAGGTGCAGTCAGTGATTACTTTCTGAGAGGTTCATTCAAATCTGTCTGTTAGTTCATGAGATATTTTGCTAACAGACCTAACTGTCCATCGTCTTGAAAGCAAAGGCAATAATGTACATCTAAATAATAGAAATTCAAGTCATTAATGCACTTTCTGATCCACGCTACCACAAATGAATCTGGTCAGTGTGTGTTATCGTGGGACTAGCTGTTTCCTCTCTCTTCATTACAATTTGTAAAATTATCTGTTTTTTAAAACTGTTATGATAACAGAGTACTGATTTCCCCCCACAGACACATTCTGTTCCATGAGAGAGCCACTGATTTGGGGATGTGTCTGTAGGGGTGGGTTTGCTTATAAGGATGCTTTGTGCTGCACAGCTGACTTCCAGCAGATAACATCAGCCTGAAAAATTGTCCACACGTGCACGTGCACACGCACACGGGATTACACACACACACACACAGATTAGCAGGCTTTCAGCAGCACTGTTATATATTAGTGGTGGTACTTGGTCTCTTTGATAAGGTACACCTTTATTAAATTCTCCAAGTGAAAGAGTGCCCGTCTCGGGAAAAGGAATATGTTAATAGGTAGAGACCATTCAAGTCTTCAAACTGACCTCGCCGTGCCCCTCCATCTGGAAACCCCCTACTTTCTTCCCCCTCTCTCTCGCTCTATCTTTCCATCCCTTCATCTAAAAGGAAGGCCACAGCAGAGACAGACAAAGAGGACGAGTTTGCGGGGAGAGTGGGACAGAAATGGGGGGGCTGGAAGAGAGGAAGGTGAGGGAAGTAAAATATGTCGCCTTCAGCCGAGCAGAAAAACGAAGAGGTCCGCGTGAGTTGTGAGAGAGGTGAAATAGCTTTTTTCTTTTCATTTTACACGCCTTCCCCTCCCGACGCAACCCTCACCCTTTACCTCTCGCCCCCTATTACACACACTCACTCAGACGCGTTGCTCGCGCGCTCGTTCCCCTCCGCCCTCGTGCTGCTGGCTGCCGGTGGGAGAGGAGCGGCGAGGTTCTGCCTCGGTCTTTGAGCTCCCCCTTCTGATTCGAAAGAGAATCCGGCAGTGCGGCGCGAAGCGGTCGACCTCCCGTGGCTAGCCAGCAAGACTCCTCCATGGTTATGTAGGTCGCTGCTCTGATGTTTGGCCACAGGAGCTTACACTCTCACAGAACGGTTTGAACATCATGTCCAATAATCTCACAAGCACAACCACGGGAACACACACATACGAGCAGGTATGACTGCGTGCTACTCACAGGCCTCAGTGGTGCATCGTCTAAAGTTTCGAGGCGGGGGCTTTCTGCAACTAAAATCTATTGATGTGTGTGAACTGGGTGGTCTCTTTAGCAGGGATGAGAGGGTGAGCAAGATGGGGCCTGTAAGGGCTCACCCCGTCTGTCATCTTATTCTCCCGTCTTCCCCAAGCCGGGCAAAATCTCAACGACAACTGACCAAACAAACCAATCTGCATACAAATAACAGAGCCTGAGTATCTGCATTAAAAACAAACCAGCAGGCTTTTTTTTCTTTTCTCTCCACTGTGAAAAGAATTCACACGACTTTAACAGAGTGCTGCAAACAGAGTAACTCACATATCTCTGCATGATCTGGTGTCTCTCCTGCGGATCATCCAGCATGTTGACGGACAGGTCGGAGATGGAAACGGCGGCAGAGGCAGTGAGGGTGACCAGAAGCACCAGAACTCCTTCCCCTTCCTCCAGTGGCATGTCCAATTTGTGTGTGTGTTCTTTACTAAGAAGCGACAGGTCGATGGTACACCTAAAGCAAACACACACAAAATAATGTGCAGGCGGGTATTCAATATGCGGGGACCATTTCTGGCATAGACCCCTACTTGTGGGGACCAACTGGTACTTATGAGGATCTAAGCCTAGCTAAATGCTGTTGGTGGGTGGGGGTTTAGGACTAAGGTGTGAATTGCGTTTAGGTTAGATTTAGGGTCAGGTGTGTACCTGCAGGTTAGGTTTAGGGCAAGCGGTCAGGATTAAGCAGTAGAAATCAATGGAGGTCAGTGCAAAGTCCCCATAGAAGTATTAGACCATGCAGGCTTTTGTGAAACAGACTCTACAAACTACAAGTGCAGCTGTTTTGGGCTAACATTCAAATAAAAAAATGTATGGTTGGCATTCTCACTAATGCCTGCAAAGGTGTTACACATACAGGAAACTCAAATTCTCTTTCGAAATGATGTGTGTTTGTTTCTGTTTAATGGTCTCATTAGGAACTTGTTATAAATCACATGCTGTGCGGGAGCAGAGAAACAGCAACGCTCTAAAAATAGCAAACAGCAAGTAGCGAGCGATGTGTGTAGGATGTAAGCAACTGAAGACAACTTAGGCAAAGCTCACACACTTAATACCTTTTAGTAGGCACTTTAAGAGCGTCTGCACTTGACTGAATTGATTTTGTGTGTGTGTGTGCCCTTAATTTGTCTACAGTTAAAACTGCAGGCCGATAAAAATGAACTGACTTGGTTTCAGGCTTGTCCTTCAAAGCAAAGGTTTACTAAAGTGAATTTAAATTTGTACAGATTTATGGTTCAAAAGAAAAAATAAGGGTTAAAATGGAGCCAAAATGTAAAGAGACACCACATGTTCACTTTGGACTTAAATGACAAATACTCCTTGGTGGAAACTCTTTGTCCAAAACCAAAGATGACTGAGGAAGTCCCAGCCCATTCTGATAAAGTTTAGATGTTGTGTAAAATGTAATGAGAATGTAAATATTTGCAAATATAATGAACCCATATTTTATTCAATATTTTAATAATCTTGAGAAATCTGGACATTGATTGTGAACCTCAGGCAGCTCTAAAAACACAGGTCTGAATCTGTTGCAGACATCAGTTCATGGGCTAAACACAGTTTGCCATGCCGTCCAACTTGGAAAACTCTTGTGTGGGCTGATGAATCAATTTTTGAAATTCTTGTTGGAAAAAATGGCCGCCATAACCTTTGCAGTAAAAAGGAGAGGCGCCATCCAGCCTGTAATAAACACACAATCTGTGGTGCTATGGGATAATGGGCTTTGTCAATGGTGACCTGAAAAGGCACCATCTTTGCTGAAAAGTATAGTTTAAGAGCAACTAATGCTCCCATCCTTTAAAGAAGACTCAGAACTGATAAAAGGCTAAAATCCCACATCAGATAAGAATGGAACACAATTCCTCTGCAAAAAATAAATAAATAAATAAATAAATAAATAAAAATACATAAAAAATTGAGCAACTGGTCACCTCAGTTTCTCTGTTTAAATAATGTTTAAATAAGTGGGGATGCCTCATAGCAGTAAACATGGCCCTGTCTTGTCTGTTTTGAGATGTGTTGTTGCCATCAAATTTAAAATGACTAATTTCTTAGTTCAAACATTTGGTATTTGCTACATTCTGAATACATGATTGGTTTATGAGATTTGAAAGTCTTTGCAGTTGCTTTTAATTTTTGGAATCTGGGATCAAATGTTTTTAGAACAAATGAAAAAAAGTGACAAATGAAGATTACTGCACCTTCCCATGAAGTCATCCTTCTTGCCAGCGTCTTTGTCCCAGACTGTGATGTCCACAAAACCCCCTTGCTCATCGTACAAGTGGAAATCAAACTGTTCCCTCCACTGGGGGTTTAGTGTTTTGGAAATTGTCTGAATAAAGCACAGAAGGAAGTACATGAATTAGTCCTTAGGCCCACTTTTTTAATATAATCAAGCCATAAACTATACATTCACATGTTTAAAATATGAATAATTTACACTGTTTGATTTGAAAGATTTTGTAGCACAATGAAAGCCTTTTTTTTTTTACAAATACACACTGAAAGGTAACACCTTTTTTGCTGCATGAAGAGGCAAAAATGAATTCATGAGAAAAGTAAATTAGAATTGGAAGTGTTAGAGTGATAAGAAAGTCATTTATTACAGGCTGATAGTAAAAGTACAAACAGCGGGGGAGGATATCCGTCTGTCTGCAACGATATGTCTCCCTACAAACAGGAGGAAAGTTTTACTCCTTTACTATTGAGCAATGTTTAAAGAGAAATAAATAATGTAGACTTGATGAGGAAACATTTCAAATCTGACCATGAGGGATTATGGTGAGAACAAAATGTCCCCGGGTTACCTTGCTCTTGTACTTTTGGTGGCCCATCCTGAATTTGACATAGGGGTCGCTGAGGCCATTGGCGTCCATGGGCTGCAGGCCACGGCCTTCGATCAGACTGACGCTGACGATCCCTCGCCAGAGCTGGGCTTTTCTGTGCACATCTGAGAGACGCATGCTCTGATACTGCAGCAAACACAGACACACAGAATCTTTCTCACAAACGGGTAGATGTCGATGGAAAAAAAAAAAACGACACACTACACATACACAGTATGCTTCTATAAAACCCAAAACGTACATTTTGGCTTGCATACCCTTGTAGGAAAATGATTTAGGACAACATAAAGGCAGGCAAAACACAAATGATATCGACTGAACACAAGCTCATTAGATGTGTCAGAACATTACAATAAATTGTGGTGCGGTTTTAGAACGCCTGCAGCCAAAAACAGGGGTGGGATCATGTAATTGCCTGTGTGTTTTTGTCCGTCTGATTTAAATAAAACTCTACGAAAGTAATCCCTGAGCACACACCTAAAGCTGATTATTTTTTGGAGTCAACCCATTTCAAGATGGCCACCACAGTTGATCAATCTTAGATACAAAAATGGCTACACCTCAGTTTGACAGCTATTGAGCTAAAAGTGGCTGTAGTAGCTGAGAGTCGTTTCTATCATTAATTCGAAGCACTAACTGATTATGGAAGATTTTAATAAGAAACATAATGGTGGCAGGTGATATTTATTCCATCAAAAAATGTTAATTTCATTCAATCTGCATTTTTTTACCCAAAACTTAACCTATTCAGGAAAAACTGAAAATTGCCTCCAAACGTTTATAAGACAACCTTGCTTTTATAGCATACTGTTGTCCATTTGCATTCCCTCTGATTTGTTCGACAGCTCTGCAAATTCAGATTTGACAACTTAAGAGTCCAGTATCTCCCTTAACGGTTTCTTAGCACCTAAAGACCTGCTTAACTTCTCTTTGATTCATGTCAGCACCCTTCACTAACACTAAAACCATGGTATTTATTTGTCGAACAATTACAAATCCTCCCTCCATCTCTCGTTCCTCTGCCTCTCCCTCTCCTTCCTTGTTAGGCAGAGTATATTAGCATAGCTTTTGTTTTGCGAGCGCATTTCATTAAACTCTGAACAAACCCTGCCTCGCCTTTGATCTGGAGACAGAGCCTCTTAATTTCCATTCTCCAGACATGAAACAATGCGAATAGCTCCCTGCAACGAAGCTAACTTCCCTTACAGTAACTCCCACATCTTTCATTTCTCCCGTTCACTTAATATGCTAATGATGGGAGGTCACAGTTATGTCCTACCAGAATACAATCTATTGGTTTATTTTTATTGCTACATGTATTTTGTTATAGAAAACCAGTAGAACAGGCAACATGATCGATGATGTTCAGAGACTAATAGGTGCACAAAAAAGCAAAGAATCTAGTTTGAGCCAATTCTCATGTCACAAGTGGAACAGACAATTATATATATA